CGTGGGCATCCAGCGGGCAGACATGAACTCCCTGCGGGCCATGGCCTCCCCGCCGCTGGAGGAGCACGTCTTCCTGGTGGAGTCCTTCGAGCTCATCCAGCAGTTCGCCAAGCAGTTCCAGGACAAGCTTTGTGGTGGGTGAGGGCTGCTGCTGGTGCTGAGTGGCAAGGGGGGTCCTGGTGTCTGCTCCTCACCCAAGTCTTTTGTCCTTGGGTTGTGGCAGCCATCTTGACATCTTCGGTGTCATGCTTTTTATAAGCTACAAGAACATAAAGTTTGGTGGGTGCTTAGTTGATGGTTTATCATCATGGTTTGTATTTTTGTTTGGTTTTTGGGATGGGGCCAGTTTTGGGGTTAGTTCTCTGTTTGCTTGGGGATGGTTGTGGAGTGATGATGATGGTTGATCATTATTTTTGGTAGTAGGAAATACAGAGAAGGTTAATTGAAAGTGTATTGATGACAATGGATTGGATAATGTAGGGATATATGGTTTAATTATTCAACAAAAAAAAAAAGGCCAGACCTTCAGAGGAGTGTTTGGGGTGGCTGCCGCTGCCAGAAGCAGGGTGGATGGGGAAGCAACCTCCCCAGTGAGGTGCCAGGACAGGGCACTGCACAGTGTCTGTGTCTGTGTGACAGACAGTAGGTGAGCACTGGGGCTGTGAAATCAGTGGCTGAGCACTGGGGCTGCGTAGGTGTGAGCACTGGGGCTGGGTAGGTGTGAGAACTGGGGCTGTGAAATCAGTGGCTGAGCACTGGGGCTGTGTGGGGCTGTGTCACACTGGCTTCTGCTGCAGGGACTGGGCATATGCCAGAGCCAGGGTGCCCATGTGTCTGGCATGCCTGTGGGCCACTCTGATGCCCGTTCTGTCTTGCAGGGGTGGACATGTGCATGGAGAGGGAGCACGGCTGCCAGCACAGCTGCATCAGCACCCCTGGCTCCTTCTACTGCGAGTGCAACCCAGGCTACAGGCTCAATGGGGATGGAAAGACCTGTTCCCGTAAAAACCCTTTTTGTTTTCTGAACTTTCATAGGGAGCTTGTAGTTATGGGTCCCACGGAGGGAAGCTGGCACACAACAGAGGAATCAGGGAGGCCAGCAGCAGCCTGGGTGCTCTGTTCACTGGGCCCACTGCCTGCCGGGTCTGTAATGCCTGCAGACACTCAGCATTGCTAAATCTTGCCCACCTAAGATGGGACACTCATGACTTGTGGGGGCACAACCAGCTGCCTGTCAGCTGGGCGGGTCTAGGCAGTGAGTACCAGAGGATTCACATCCCTAGTGCACAGTGCTTTTCCCCTGGATTTTAGTGCAAAGCTGTGTTAGTTGGTCTGACCACCACACCAAGACCTCCTTCTTGTTTCACGGTGCTGCTTCAAAGCCCTGGAGTAGCCCTGCCCTGCTGCCCCAGGGAGGCTGGGACAGGAGGGTGATGGGTGTCCCATGGATGCTGGCTCAGGAGGGTGATGGGTGTCCCATAGGAGGGTGATGGGTGTCCCAGGGAGGCTGACTCAGGACAGTGATGGGTGTCCCAGGGAGGCTGGCTCAGGACAGTGATGGGTGTCCCAGGGAGGCTGGCTCAGCAGGGTGATGGGTGTCCTTTGCCCCCCAGCCATCGATGCCTGTGCTGACGGGAGGCACGGCTGCCAGCACCACTGTGTCAGCCTGCGGGGCTCCTACCACTGCCGCTGCCGGCCGGGTTACTACCTCAGCCACAACAAGAGGAGCTGCACGAGTAAGTGGCGGTCTCCCTCCCTGTCCCTTCTTGTTTGCTTTCTGTTCTCTCTCTTCTTGTCTTTTCCCTTCTGCCATTGCTCTCCTTGTGTCCATAGTGATTGATTACTGCAGCTTTGGGAACCACAGCTGCCAGCACGAGTGTGTGAGCATCCCCAACGGGCACTACTGCCGCTGCCGCAGCGGCTTCACGCTCCAGCCCGACGGCAAGTCCTGCAGGGGTAGGTCCCAGCCTGCTGCATGGTGCAGGCTGTGTCTATAGCACGTGCCTTTATGTCCTGCCCAGCCTCCAGGGAAGGGCTGCTCCCAAACCACCCTGAGTGGGGATAACCCCATGCCCTCGACTTGTCTTCCAGCCACCGACCTCTGCAACGGGGTGGATCACGGCTGTGAGTTCAAGTGTGTGAGCACAGAGGGCTCCTACCACTGTGTGTGCCCTGAAGGCCAGCGGCTCCAGGCTGATGGCAAGACATGCAGCAGTGAGTACCGGAATACAGGCCTTGACATTCCTCTTATCTGAGCTCTGTGCTCCTGGAGAGAGCTCACCTGAAACTGGGCTGGGGGGCTCTGTTACCATTTGGGACTCTAAGCTAGGCTGGAAGAGGGTGGAGAGTTGGCTGTGGCTTGGGGGAACACCCTGGCTGCTGTGGGGATGGATGCCTGTGTCCTCAGAGACATGGCCCAGAAGATGCAACAGCTTTAAGGAAAACTTTGGGAAAAGAGGAACCTAGGAAAGACTTTCATGGGGTGTTGGGATATCAGTGGAGGTTTTTGGGCTGAGTCCCTTGGGCATAGTCTGCTTTCCTTTGTAGCTGCAGTTCCAGGATGTTCCCATAGTGCCACAAAGCTGGGCCCCAGCCCTTCAATGTGACAGTGGCCGTGGCCAGGCTGCTCCTCTGTCACCTTCCCCTGTCCCTGCAGAGTGTGGAGCTGGGCACGTCGACCTGGTGATGGTGATCGACGGTTCCAAGAGCGTGCGGCCCCAGAACTTTGAGCTGGTGAAGCAGTTTGTGAACCGTGTTGTGGACCTGCTGGAGGTGTCCCCGCAGGGCACGCGGGTGGGGCTGGTGCAGTACTCCAGCCGCGTGCGCACCGAGTTCCCCCTCAACAAGTACCACAGTGCTGATGAGATCAAGAAGGCCGTGATGGATGTGGAGTACATGGAGAAGGGCACCATGACAGGCCTGGCCCTCAAGCACATGGTGGAGCACAGCTTCTCTGAGCAGGAAGGTGCCAGGCCTCTCTCCCACAACATCCCCAGAATTGGGCTGGTCTTCACAGATGGACGCTCCCAGGATGACATCTCCGAATGGGCCAGGAGAGCAAAGGAATCAGGTGCAGGGGGGGTTGGGAACCCCCAATTTCAGTGTTTTGTGTATCCCTGGATGTTTCCTTGGGGTGGCTGTCTGAGTGAAAAGCTGCAGCATCCAGCCTTGGGGAGCAGCATCCCATGGCAGACGTGCTCTGTAGTGGCCACAGGGTGCTCTGAGCAGCATCCTTCATGCAGCAGCCTCCACCACCACAGCGCTGCCACACTCCTGCCTGTCCTTCCCAAATTCCTGCTGTGTATTTGGGGAGCCCAGAGAAAATCCTGCCTCCTTGCCTTTGCTCCCTCTGGGCTTGCTGCAGGGTGGCCAGCACAGTGCTCAGGATCTGTCCTTGCCACGCAGGGATTGTCATGTTTGCTGTGGGTGTTGGAAAAGCTGTGGAAGAAGAGCTGAGAGCGATCGCCTCCGAGCCAGTGGAGCAGCACTTCTCCTATTCTGCAGACTTCACCACCATGACCCACCTTGTGGAGAACTTCTCCCTGAACATCTGCCCAGGTGGGTGCTCCTGGCCACACCAGGGGACTTGAACCCAAGCCAGGGAAACCTTTCTGTCCCCACAGAGCCAGCGGGGTGGTTTGTGTGTCTGTCACCCTGTGTCAAACGCCCCAAGGCTGAGCTGGGCTGGTGTGAGCCTAGGCTGTCACAGGATCTCTCCAGGCTGTTGTGGGTGTAGATGTGGGTCTCTGGAGGGCATTTGGAAGAGAAGATGAAGCTGGGGGGATTAATTAAAAAGCAGGAGGGGTTAATACAAAAGTATTAATGTGATCAACCACCCCAGTGCCTTTGCATGGGCAGAATTTGGGAGGGGCTTTCAGAGCATCCCACCCTGCCTTGTGGGATGCTCTGAAGGTGCCCTGTGCACCTTGTTCAGACCTGTGCTCCTGCTGCAGCTGGGTTAATGTGAGGGTCTCCCTGCCCTGGGACAGGCTGGGGCTCCCCAGTGCCCTTGAGTTCCCCACAGGGCTGCAGAAACAGAGCCAACGCGCCCCCTACCACCCCAGCTTGAAGATAAAGTGAAGCTCAGCACTGACTGTCCTTGGCACACAGTGCCCACGTGTGACAGCTCTGTGGGGTGCCTGGCAGAGGGATTGCTGGATCAGCAGGGCAGCCTGACAGAGAGCAGAGAGGCTGAAAGAAGGGGACAAAATGGTGGGGAGAGCCCCAGAGGGTGGCTGCAGGGACAAGGGATCTGTCTGGGAGCAAGGGAGAGCAGGCTCTGTGGGGCCATGGTGTGACAGCAGCCAAACTCCCGTGACAGAGGAGGGCAAAGGGGAGACGGAGATCCGCAGCCCGTGCGAGTGTGAGGCGCTGGTGCAGTTCCAGACCAACACCGTGGCCATCCTGCAGAGCCTGACCGAGAAAAATATCCTTTGGGGTGAGGCTGGGCTTGTCAGGGGGCTGGGGACAGAGCACACGTGGGGGAGGGAGGGATGGGTAAATGGGAGAGGGGAAATTTTAAGCCCTTTGCCCAGCAGACTGCCTGGCTCACGCTGTTTCCTTAGCACGTTCACTTGCTCAGATGACAGTCAGACTTGAAGACCTGGAAAAGCAGATTGCCAACAAGAAGTGATCCTGGCAGAGGGCTGCAGTGGTCAGCAGGGCACAGGATGGATGTACAGTAGCTACATGACATTGTTATTGGCTAGGTTATTGTAAAGCATCAGTGTTTGTTCTTGTATTGCAAAATCCCCAGGGGGCTGTATTTAAAAAAAAACAAAAATCCTAAAAACACACAAAAAGGAACTTGAACAAAGCCCCTGCTACAAAGCTGAGGGGTTCAGTTGTTGTTCCTTGGCAGGTCTGGGATGTGGGGGAGCAATGATGTGGGCAGGCTGGTCATTGGACAGACATGACACGTGGTGTCCCCCAGAGTGACTGGGATGGCACAGTCCCCCTGGACCCTGGCAGACAGCTTTGCAAGAGAAAAAACCTGCAGTGGTGTCATCCTGAGAGCTTCTGGTATCTCAGCATCTTCTGCCAAGTGGTGGGGCAAGGGCAGCTGGGTGGTGCAGGCAGCACAGGGGATGCCTGATGCCCAGCTGGCACCCAGTGTGGTGCTCAGGAGAGATCCCATGGGAAGATGGGCGGCAGGAATTCTCAGATCCCCTTGCCCCTGTTTGGCAGAATTGTTTGGAAATTGGTATTAATCTTGTTTGGTTTTGTAATCTCATAGCAAAATGGTAATTATTCTTTCTATCAGTATCTAAGTGTGTGTGTATGTATATATATATGTATATTTAATTCTGAGAGCAGGGTAGTGCTATTTTTAAACTCATTGTTTTATAAAGGAATTTCTATCTTGACAATAAACACCCTGAATATTTGTATGACATGTCCCTCTCCTTTCAGCTGGGCTGCAGGATGACAGAGGAACCTCTGTGTCAGAAATGGAGTCTCTGGCTTTTGCAGCAGCTCCTGTCCCCAGGATCCAGAAATCCTTTGGGGAAATCTTTGTTCTGTGGCACCCCAGGGTGCTGCAGGCCTGGCCCCAGCTGGAGGGAGCCAGTGTGGCAGGGACACTGCATCCCCCTGGGCAGGGCTTGCTCTGGAGCCTCTGCTTGTAGGAGCACAGGGAGCTGCGAGCTGAGCTGGGCATGGAGCCACAGCCTGGCCAAGGTGCCCATTGAGCTGCTCTGGGGTGGGTGCTGAGGCAAAAGGACACACAGGATCTGCTCCTGGTGGATCCCTGCACAAAGAACCACCCCTGACAGCAGGACTCTGCTTGGGGCAGGCTCCTTTCTCTTGATTTTATCCTCATTAGTGCATTTAGTTCCTTTCAGGGGATACCACAAAATTCCCCTCTGCTCCCCATGAAGCTGCAGCCCCCCCAGGATCCATCCCTGCCTCCAGCTCTGGGGTCCTGAGCACAGGAAGGACCTGGAGCTGTTGGAGTGGGTGCAGAGGAGGCCATGGGGGTGCTGCAAGGGCTGCAGCCCCTCTGCTGTGAGGAAAGGCTGAAGCAGTTTGGGATGCTGAGCCTGGAGAAGAGAGGGCCATGGAGGGGCCACACTGCAGCCATGAAGGGCTTGAAGGGTCCCATAGGAAAGATGGGGACAGTGTTCAACAGGGTCTGTGGTGGGAGGAGAAGGGGAGATGGCTTTCAGCTGCAGGAGGTTGATTTGGTTAAAATGAAGGTGTTTCTTTACACTGAGGGTGGGAAGTCACAGGCCCAGGCTGTGCACAGAAGCTGTGGATGCTCCATCCCTGGGAACATCCATGGCCAGGGGGAGAGGACTCTGTCTGGTCTGGTGGAGGTAGCTCAGATTGGAATAAGATGATCTTCTGGATCCATTCACTTACACACTGAGTGAAGAATTCATCCAGTACACAGGAGATGCAAAAGGAAACTTTGGGCGGAGTTTCAGCTTCCTGCTGAATTCCTCACAACAGAATATCGCACTTGGCTGTGGCATCCTCCACGCACCCTCACCAGCTCCCGGGCATCCCTGTCACCCTCCTTGCCACCAAGCCCATGACACTGTCATCGGTCCTGAACGGTCCTTGCTGCCTGGATCTTGCCACCCATCTCTGCAGGATGCCCACTTTTGTCCCAGTGAAGGTACAGTGCCATTCCATGGAGGTGGACACCTCTGAACTGCCTGGGTGGGCTGGAGCTCTGTGGGGTTGGTGTGGGACAGGGACCCCACTCTGAGGTTCTGCTCCCTATGCAGNCCTGGTTGGGTGTCTGCAAAGAAAAGCTGTGCAGAGCAAAGGAGGGTGCATGGAGAGGCAGATGAGGAGGGCGAATCTCAGCAATGTCGTGTCTAGGGCTGCTCTAGCATTGCCCAAGGCTTCCAGCACAGAAATAGGTGCTGTTAGCACGTGTGGCATCAGTGCCCTGCACCCTGCCAGGTGGACCTGCTGTGTGTGCCTCCTCCTTGCACAGCCCTGCTGCATGGGACAGCCCTCTGGCTTGGCTGGTGCTTCTCACAGGCTCCCAGCTTTTCCCCACTCCTTGCTGCTCATGGTGAGCCCTTGTCCTGGCTTCTTGCAGGCTCTGGAGCCAGCATGGCTCCATAGCCTTAGTCCATAACCTGCTTTCCTCCCTGTGACACTACAGTCAGGGCTTTTCCTGGGCTGTGGATGCACTGCCACCTCTCCTTTCCCATCTGCTCATCCCCTCTGCAGCTCAGTACAGAGAGCCCCTATTGCTGTAGCAGAAGGAGGGCAGGGAGCTGGCAGCATTCCCCACCCTGTGGCCTTGCCCAAGGCAGGCTGCACCCAGGCCCAACCTGCCACCATCTGGATGAAGCAGCAGGGGAATATTCAGAGTATTTCTGCTAACCTGTAGCCAGGAGAGAGCTGCCAAGGAGGCCAGGCTGAAACCTGAGGCGGCTGTTTTTGCTGAGACTCAGCATTTGGCAGGGAGAGCAGACGGACAAGTGGTGGAGCAGGGAGGGATGCAATTGCCCTGGGGAGCAGCATTGCCAGGGGAGGTGCCCAGGGAAGGTGTGCTGGCTTACCTGTGTGTCTCTGGGGGTCCATCTCCATGTCCTCCGTGGCTGAGATCACGTGCAGAGGGAAGAGGAGGTGACCCTGCTGTCCTCACATGTGGTTCTCCCCTCGGTCACCCTCCTTGCATCACACACTGAGCATTTCTTTAAGCAGTGAAGAGCAATAGCTGTTTCTCCCTCTGAGTTGCTCAGAACTGTCAGGAATGGTCCAAATGCCCTCTCAGATCGTCTGCAGGGTTCAGCTGAGCCAGCCCAGGCAGCAGCACTCACCTTGCCTGGATCCTTTTGCCTTTATAGCTCTGTGTTATCTCAAGGTCTCTGGCGGTGCAGGTGGTGTTTGCCTTGCCCTGCAGCACCTGCCTGCCAGCCGCTGCCTTCCCACCACGGCCTCCCACTGCTGCAGGGCATGGAGGGGGTGCTCTGCACCCTCAGTGCCTCTGCAGGGATGCAGGTCAGCCCAGGGAAGGGAGTGTGGAGGGAAGCTGCCAGGGACGGTGGGAGAGATATCATCGGGTGGCTTTTGCCCCGTCATCTTTGCTTCCCCATCCCTTTGCTGCTGGGGCAGGACTGGGCATTAAATTGAATCAGGGGCCAAACTCTGGTCTCTGCTGCCAGGACAGAATATGACTGAGCTGCCATGCCCTGCCCTGTCCAGGCAGCATCAGCCCTTGCAGCTGGAGAGAGCCAAGACTTCATCCAAAAGCTGAGATGATGTTAAAAATAGATCAGTCGTGAACTGGTTTTCTCCTTCTTGGTTCCTGGCCCGACAGCTCATTCCTCCCCCTGAGCTGTCTTTGAACCTCTCTGGATGCTGTGAGACACAGGCTCCACAGCAGCCTGCCTCTGCAGGGAGGTGTGGAGAGAAGGGAGCTGCAGAAATGTTCTAGGTGGCACAGCTGCCCAAAAATATTTAGTGTTTTGTGAGTGCTTTCTCCCAGGAAAGAAGCAGTGCTGGAAAAAGAATCTGCTAAATGAATTGGGGAACAAAGCTGGAGGAGGAGAATTTTGCCTCTCTGCTTGCATGTGGTGAGGGGCACAGGTGTCTGAGCAATCCTGGCCTCAAAGCTCACCTCTACCCGCGGAGAAGACCTGCCAGGCTGCTGTCCCTGCTCATCCCCTCAGCCAGAGCAATCCCTCTGGTCCTGCAGGGCTCTGCAGGAGCTCCTGGCACTGCTGTGGAGTCACTGTGTCCCAGGCTGGCCCTGGGCTGGTGGGCTCTCCCCTCCAGGGAAAGGCCACGTCTCTCACTTTCAGATGGGTGTTCTGGACCCCAGTATCCTCCAGTACCCCTTTTCTGTCCTCCTAATTCTCTAATGTAGTTTTCCAGGTGTGAACACTGAGCCTCGAGACAGTTTTAAGATGCAGCTGTGAAACCTATTATCAGTGTCCCTGCTATCAAAGACAAGGTGTTCAGGGCTGCACGTAACCACTGAGCAATTAAACAGCAACCCTGGTGATGAATTACAGCTGAGACCTCCTGGGGCTAAATAAATACTGCCTGATAACTACCGATAAAATGAATTTTGGTGTGTTTTTTTCTTAAAAGCACCCTTCCAGTACCTGAGCCCAGTCCTGGCACTGCCCATGTCCTGGGGAGAGTCACATTATCTGTGGCATTTCTGTCCCCAGCACCTTGGGTTTCCAACCAGAGCTGGAATAAAAATGAACTAAATAAATCCACATCCCTGCAGGAGCCAGGAAAGGCAAGGCAAGACAACACAGAGGTGGGCAGGGAGGGAGAGAAGTGAGAAGCGAAGGTTTTGGGTAACAAGTTTAAATACCTTTCTCCACACTGATCCCACCCTAAAGACATGAAAAAACTGTTGAGGTGCAGAGAATCCCTTGGAAAAACCTTTAGGACACGGAGAGGTGCAGAGTGGTGGGGACTCTAAAGGCACCCTCGCACCCTCTGCCTGCAGAGGCTTCTGCTCTCCCAAGGGAGTTTGGAAACAGGCAGGGAATGGAATTTATTGGAAAAATCATCTTTGCCACTGACTTTGAGAGACTTCTGAGCAGGTGCTGTCTGTGCTGGTGTTTCATCTGGGGGCTTCTCTCCCCGTGCAGGAGTATCAGGAGGGCTGGTGCTCTGCATCCCTGCGTGCAGCTTTCCCACTCTCCACTGGCTGCAGAGAACAGCCAGTCAGGGAAAAAGCATTTGGCTGAACATCCCATCTGCCTGGTTTGCAAGTGAAAATAAGGCTTGTCCAATGGCCAGCTCCACCCAGAGCAGAAAATCAGACCCTTGGCAGAGTGCTGCTACTGTAATGAAATTGAGCTGTGCTGAGACTGCCAGTCCTTGGAACAGGAAAGATTCCATGTGGATTCAGAGAAGTTTGGGGATGGATCTGTCAAAACTGCTGCTGTTGAGGGTTTTTGGCACTGCCTAGGGACACCCATCACATGAGAATGTTGCCCTGTGGCTGAGCTCATCCTCAGCACTGATTGCACCTTGTCTTCTCCCTGCAGCACATCCCTCCAGCACTGGAACTGCGTGCTCTCCCAGAGCCATCATGAAGCTCCTGCCTGCTGCCCCTCTCCTCCTGCTCCTCCTGACAACACTGGAAGCCAGACCAAAACCTGCAGGTGAGCCCTGGCTGGTGGAGAGTGCATGGAGGGGAGAGAGGTGAGGGCATGGGGCAGTGGAGCCCTCAGAGGACGGTTTGCTGTGTGTTATGGGGGGACATGATGTCTCTTCCTTGGGAGCATCCCCAGGAGGATGGAGGGTCCTCCCAACAGTGGGACACAAACCTCCTGGCCCCAGCATGGTGGCTTTGGTGCTGCTTGCTCTGGGCACCTCCTCAGCTGTGACACAGCCCTGCTTGTCACCCTCCAGGCCATGGGCTGTGACCTTGCGGGAGGCACAGCTGTAA